AGGACACACACACACACACACACACACACACACAAACACAGAGAGAGAGAGAGAGAGAGAGACAGAGAGAGAGAAAGAGAGAGAGGGGGGCAGACAGACAGACAGACAGACAGACAGACAGACAGACAGACAGACAAAGACATTTTCAACAAACAAAAGTCGATCTTTTTTCATGAAAGATGCACTTCCACAGATGAATAAAAGCTGAAAGGTTAAGTTTAAGACTTTATATCATACGGCACGGTCATCATCATCTTTGCGACAATTTCTTTTACAACACGAACAATTACACAGTATTTAACAGAAACCATACGTATTTAAAACTATGTAGAGGTTGATACAAATTATTACAACTTTCTTAGTTTAGTAAAAGAAGAAAAAAAACAACCCACATCAACAACAAGCAGTGTTTCAAACTGACATCTAGAACGTTCCCACGACCTTGTATGGATATACTAGATGTTATGACAAATTATTATGACAATGTTCACACCAAAAAGTCACGAAACTTCCACCGTGTTATGATTGATCCATCACCGTATTATTTACTCATATCCCCCATTAGGGAAAACACAACATTTTGCACATTCAGCAAAATCGGATTTTGAAAAGAAAAGGTTGAAAACAGAAGAGAGTTACTAAAATATTTTTAAAAAGAAAGGAAACTCCATATAAAATCATAGGGCCACCACCTTCTTATTCTGGGATCACAAAACAAAGTTTTCGTTTTAGTTTAGTAAGAGTTTCACGGCACAAGCAACACAATTTATTATGTAATAAAAAAAGTCAAAGATTAGAGGTGTTACAAGAAAGTCACTTGCGAAGAAACGGAGGAGAAAAAAGGACGATAGGTGTTTGATGGGAAAGAAGGAGTAAACCACACCAGAGCTTTTGCCAACCACATAATTTGAGCTTTCAAATGAACCCCCAGATCAAGCCGCAACAAAGATACCCCCTCCTAAAAAACAAACAAACAAACACAGCAAAGCAATAACAGCAATGGCATCAATCAGAATGCAAGTACATGTACCAGTTTCTTAAAAATGTTTTCCACTTTGCCGTGATATCAGAGACGTATATAATTATAATAATATAGATCAAAATGGCCGGTTTGGTATAAATTCACACGCTGACACAGAAAGGGCATCTGGATCAGGCCAATTCTCATCAAGTAATCAAAACTCTTAAATATGCTGTAAGTTACGTTGGTTTTTTTTAAAGCATCCTCGTTGCAATGCTCTAAAAATAAACTTCGTACAAAGTATGCACTTAATTAAGCTACCTTAAACTATAGCATAGGTCACATGCAAATATTATACCAACAGCAAATAGTATTACAATAAAAACAACAAACTGAGAGTAACCTTCACAACAGGTAGCAACATTAAAAAACCTTATTCACCAATATGAAAGCCGTACACTTTTTTCAATAGCAAAGACTACTTACATATATAAATGGTGTCCCAAAAATCGCGCACCATCCCGGTTTAAAAATAAAAACCCACCAAAAACCCCCAGCTGGATTGATGTTAGTTTTTGATAATAATTAATGCTTCGATTTGGCTCCCTCGGCAAGGGAACAAGCATCGGCTCTCTGAACACAAAACAGCTGTCTCTTACACGTTTGACAGCTGTCTCTTACACGCTTGAGTGAGTTTTGAGTGTGGCCTTTTAGCATTCCGTTGTTAGTTAGAGCATCCTCAAAATTGTCAATGGCCGCGTGTGAAGGGGGTTTTCCGGATGGTGCATGGCATTTATTAATAATCATAGATAGCATTTGTATAGAGCGCAAATCCACGCTCAACAGCAAAGCTCTATGCGCTTTACAATCTATACTACTACCCCAGCAGACCCGAGAGCATTTTGAAACAACTTGAACTTCCTGGGAAGCATACAGTGCATGCAGCAATTTATAGGCACTTAAACACCAACATACTGACAAGATCTTTCGCTGTCTATGGCTGGGTACCCATTCCCACCTCGGTGAAGTGGAGAAAATTAGTGTAACGTGCCTTTCCCAAGGACACAACGTCGGAACCGCGGCTCGAACCCCCGAACCCGCAACCTCACGATTACAAGTCAGGTAGCCTAATCCGAATGAGTCCAGAGCAAGACCAAGGAACATAAGTTTTGTTATTTAGGACAATTTCAAGTTATGAAACCCAAAAGATCAACAGGAAATTTTTTTTTTCCCATTTAACTGAGCACTAGGCAAAAACAACATTTTTTGGTATGAAATACCAGCACTGCATTTTGCTTTTCTTATAATGGCGAATAACGAAAACAGAATACTGCATGCCAGAACTGGCAAGTAAACAATTTTGGAGACAAATGTTTAGCCATCAGTAGGCCTACTGACCAAAAAAAATGTGTAAAAATAAAAAGCTTCATCAATCAGCGCAATAGATCACCAGGACCCCAAAAACATAAAGTTTCCAAACAAATAAAATAAATTCGAAGTTTGACAAGCAAAGCAATGTATTTCAGAGTATTTCCTGAGGAGAATGAAAGCTGAAAGAAGCCGGAATAAGAGATGAGCACATTTCCTTTAGCAGGCAGCAGTTATACGGCTTACCACAGTCTAATAATAACTATACAAACAATATTGGGACCCTATGTACTGCTGCCCCCCCCC